GTCCGTGTTCTGCAATCCATTTACACAGGCTTGTTAGATAGATTCATCGCTGTTTCTTCTCTGTCCCGTCATTATGCCCTTTGAGTGTCATATACTCCAAGCCCTCTTTTCTCATTATCTATCCTAGAAAATATCAGCTGGCTCTTTCCAATTCTAAGCCCAGTATTCACTATCATAAACAGTGTCCAGTTTTTCCTACAGTTCGGCATACATTTCTTTGTTTATATGTTTTATGTTCTATATATATGATGAATTAAGTGCATTGACAGGATAAGAGGTTGCATTTACGCGGAAATACTTTATGTGTGAAGCAAATGCTTTTGACATCATCATTAGGTTATCGAATCTACCATCATTAATAAGTTACCCAGGTTGTCATAATTATTAGGCCACGGAATTTTAATCATTACTGAATTTGTCATTATTATTTAGTAATGGAATTTATGATCATTATTAGGTTAGTGAATTTGACATCATTATTAGGCTACGGATATTGTCATCATTATTTACTTAGTGAATTTGTTATCACTATTAAGCTACAGAACTCGTTATCATTCTTGTTTACTGAACTCATCATTATTAGGCAAACGCTTGGCTCCTTTCACTGGTCTTGGAAATTTTTTTCTATTTCAAGTAAATCATTATTAGGTCGGTAGCCTAATATTACATCATTATTTAGTTAAGAAATTTGGGATCATTATTAGGCTACGGAATATTTGTTTTTTAATGCTGCAAAATATTCTTCTTCTTGTTATCATTATTGTTCTGTGTGCTGATATCATTGTTGCAGTTTGCTTTATTAACCGAATTGCACCAAATCTCTGGTGGTTGCCGTTGGAGATTAAATGAGAAGAATTCTCCTCAAATTTCTAACACATTTCGCAGAATCCAGTATCATCGCCGTATCGATAATCTTAAATCTTAACAGAACTTCTCCAAGTAATTCAGCTGTTCTTATCACCACTTTAATTTCTATGTTCTATAGTTAGCTTAGCAAATTGGGAGGGAACTCTTATGTTCTCAATATTATCTTGTTTTCCTCTCGTCCAACACTACCCTATACAATTTGTTATGTCTTCTTTTCTTTATTTATAATTACTAAATTTCGTTTACTCGCACGTGTTTCAACTTTATTTTAAAAAAAAAATTTTAAGCATTTCACCCCACGCAAGGCGGGAGTGACACCAGCACGCAAGGGGTTACAGAGGGTGTGAGCAAGAGTAAAGAGGCATATTTGAGGAAGTTATAAAGAAAAGGACGGGAATCAAGATCAAGTCATCAGAAGATGCCGATTGACATTACATTTGAATATTTAAAGATTATAGCTATCAGGGAAGCACGTAAGAGGAAGGATGTTCCACTGTCGGGAAGTGCCAGATAAGAAGCTGTTAGAGTAGAAGAGACTCCTACATTTAATTGTTACGAAAGATAAAGGGTGGGGCCGAGATGCCAACCTAGTAGCACGCTTAAATTCATGCAGTTTAAGAACCAGTGAAAGTAGCTCCTCAGAGCAGTTGCCATGAAACTATTTGTAGAAAAGACAGAGGGAAGCCATATCACGTCTGTGAGAAAGTGACTGTAGATGAGATGCCAGGTCAGGACCTATGACATTGCATATGCGTCTCTGGATTTTGTCGAGGACATCGAGATGAACAGCGGGGCACCAGATAACATATTCAATGCAAGGACGAATGATTTGTAGATTTGAAGGATGGACTCTGGCGAGAAAAAACTTCTGGGGCGACGCATAGAACCCACTTTCTTTGCGGTAGATGAAGCTATTGTTTCCATGCAGTTATTCCACCTCAGGTCAGTGGAAAGCGTGAGACCAAGCAGACGCAGAGAGATACTCTCGTGGAGGTGGGCATCAGGCATTCAGATTGGAGGCAGAGATGCATTATTAAGTTAGGAATTTTTCATCATTATTAGTCCTCCGCGATTTCTTATGGCTATACATTTACGGGATTTCTCATTATTATTAGGTTCTCATCATTATTAGTATATGTAATTTGTCATCTTTATTAGGTTAATGAATCTGCCAAAATTGACTAAAGGATTTTATGTGTTGTTTTTTGCTAATTTTAGTAACATGTCTTTTCACACACACACACACACACACACACACACACACACACACACACACACACACACACACACTATATATATATATATATATATATATATATATATATATATATATATATTTAAATATATATCAAGTATGTGGTGCAGTTCAATTTACATTACATGAATCATTCATACAAAAAACAGATATAGAAGTTAATGATAAAAATGTCGAGAATACATCCTCGCAAACAAATTTAATAAATTGCATTAACCCCGAACCTGTAGATGAATATTATGATCCCTGTTTATAAATTCCAGTTGCATAATGTCTTTTTTATTTTTTTACAAGCTTTCATCTGTTCCTACAGACATCATCAGATATGGAAATAGATTTGTTTTTTTTTTTTTATTTCCAGTAATGACAGTACAACGAATGAATAGATGCAATCCGAAATATGTTTGTAGAAATGTGTTATTGTTAATTGCAAGAAATTTTTTGGAGCGTGCGGTCGCAACGCTGAGGTTGAATTTTTAAATTTTAAGATTGTGCGTTTTTGTACTAATATGGGAATAGGAGAATTCTGTTGTACTGGTAGGTTTTTCAGTCAATGTGCCATGAACTCAATTGTTCAATAAATAGAATGTCACAGTTATTATCATCTACAGGTTCGGTGTTAATGTACTTTATTAAATTTGTTTGTGAAGATGTATTCTCGCCATTTATATCATTAACTTATATATCTGTTTTTTGCATGAATGATTCATTATATATATATATATATATATATATATATATATATATATATATATATATATATATATATATATATATATATATATATTCATTCATACACTTGTCGGAAAATATTTATTCATAGGTCCAGAGTGTCAAGCTCGAACCTTGGTGTCGGTAGTTACTCATTTTCTTTCTATATGACAGTTCCACAAATACGTGGGATGAAGTTGCTTGAGTTGAACATATATCTCAATAAAGGAATACGAATGACTTGGGGTTGATTCGTTACAATATGCGTGGCCTGGCGCGTGTCTTAGCCGTGATGGTCAGGATTGGTGGAAGTAAGGTGCGTGGTTAATCTAAATACTTTCCACGAAAATAACGATAGAGCAGCGACAGACTTCCGACGTCACGTCTGTGAGAAAGGGACTGTTGGGTGGAAAATATTTCGTCGCCTACAAGGACGCAGAGACGCTTTCGAACTCTATTGAGCGTAGAAAGTAAAGACTAAGCAATAATGACTCTCAGTTATACATATTTTTGTAGTTACGTGAACGCCGGACAGTGACCGTATTTAGACCGTTTTACATATATTTTATAAGGAGGTACGGAGGAGGTATGGATAGCGGCTCAGATAGAAGAATAGGCGAGCCGAGTTCGAATACCAGTCAGATCTATTACATTCACTTACGTGCTAATACACTTAGGAAATGTATGACTCATCTTCTTATTGCTATGCGTAAATGACAGGACAGACTGTGTTCTATAGCCTAGAGTGGCAACTGGTCTAGGAGAAGAAAAGACTCTGAATTCAAAACCGGTCTGGAGTGAATTTGGCTCCGTCAGGCTATCTTGCTCAAGAAGCACTACGTCTAGTAAATGTGTCGACATTTCAACCACCTGAAGAAGGCCGTAGCCTACAATGGCCGAAATGTTGTGATAAATATGCCAACAAAGATGAGGATAATAGTTCGAATAATGTAAAAAGTGTAAATAATCTGTTCATATTTATCATTGAACATAACACCTCATCACAGAAATATAGATAGATACTGAAGGATCGGTACGGACCCGATACACCGAAAATATAGAGGTTCAACCACCTGAAGAAGGCCGGAGCGTAAAACGGCCGAAACTTTGTGATAAATATGGCAACAAAGATGAGGGCAATAGTCCGAATAATGTAAATAGCAAACGTATCGAGTCCGCAAAAGTTTGCTAATGTTATTCTTACGTTAGTTTACTCCAAATTTAAGAATAGTAAATTTGGTGGAAGGGGTAGAACAAGACAGCCTAGTTCCCGAATGTTTTCTATTGTTAACCCTACAAGATGTTAGTGTACTCCAAATACATGAATAATGAATATGGCCAGTGGGATACGATAGACCAATCGTGTTTCAAAATGATTTCTCATCTTATTTTTGCGGTATGTTGATATACTCTAGATTCATGAATAATGAATATGGATGGTAAGAAAGAACAAACAACAGAATTCCAAAATGTTTTCCTGTGTTTATTTTAACATCCTCCAAGTCTGTTAATAATAAATATGGCTGGTTCTAGAAACAAGCCAAGTGAGTTCCCGAATATTTGTCTTGTGTTATTCTTGTTCTAGGGTTACTTTGCCAAATGTAGGCTATGTTCCTGTCCTCCAAATTCATTTTATCTATCATGTATTATTCGCCGTGAGGATGATTCTTTGGTTGAAACAGCTGGTTCCTAGAAACGGAAATTAACTTTGACTCAACTTAATATTATGATTGCCATTACTGCCTCCAAGCCTAACACATCTAATTCATAACTTGTGGATACAGCCATCACCTACAGGTCAAAGGGCTATGCTTATTTGTATTGTCGAACATCGGGCTAAGAATCCCTGAGGCAATGTTAAGAAAGGTCTCGCTTCGTTAGGAATCAGGACTTGAGATGTTTCTTTATTGCAAAGGTTATTCAGTTAATCCGCAGCCTTATAATGACTACACATTTATCGTTTTTGAACATAATTTCTTCCGTTGCCATTGCACTTAACCTAAAGTTTCTACTTTTAAACAAATACAACATTATAATGGCGATTTATGATCAACATTCGTAACTGAGTCACTGAACCGCATTATCTATCTATCTATCTATCTATCTATCTATCTATCTATCTATCTATCTATGGGTAGTTGCATCTATACCACCGGTATAAGGGTCGATGTTCAAGCATATTAAAACCCGGAAATTGAAATTATCTATCTATCTATCTATCTATCTATCTATCTATCTATCTATCTATCTATCTATCACAATCTGTTCATATTTATCAATTTCAATCTGTTCATATTTATCTGTCTCAGTCTATTCGTCTCTCTCTCTCTCTCTCTCTCTCTATCTATCTATCTATCTCTCTCTCTGTTTATATTTATCTATCTCAATCTGTTCATATCTATCTATCTATCTATCTATCTATCTATCTATCTATCTATCTATCTATATATCTGTTTTGATTAGTCTTATGTCTATCGTCTTTTCATGTTGACTTGAATATCGACTAATTTTAATTGTTTTAATAACTATGTCCTGAAGAAGGTCTACTAGACCGAAACGTCTGACGTCGACATTGAAACAACATTAAAACAGCATACTTGCATATTCGGATTTTTGTTTTTCCATATTTTTCTTCTATCTATCTATCTATCTATCTATCTATCTATCTATCTATCTATCTATCTATCTCAATCTGTTCATATTTATCTATTTCAATCTATCTATCTATCTATCTATCTATCTATCTATCTATCTATCTATCTAGTAGTAGTTGCGTATATACCACCGGTACAAGGGTCGATGTTCGAACATATTGAAAAGCCAGAAATTCAAATATTTTAACCGTCGGTAGGTTCACCTCTATTTGAATATAGACGTAACATATTCTTCCTTCCGCCTCTTACTTTGAGTGAGACTAAACCACGCTTATATCGATATAAAATGTAAGTGCATTTTGAACACATGAAAGCACACGTCCCCAAAGACATGAGTATAAAGGTGGTTTTGTCTAACTTTTCACATTTTCTGTTCTTTTATAATAGCCTGTCACGATATTTTATACGAATTTAACTCAGCATTTCAAATAAAGAGAAAAGTAGAAATAAAACAAATTATTGCAACCAGAGAAATACACATAAATTCATGCCAACTTTTTCGATTTTTTTCTTCTTTCCTTTCTCTTCCTATCGCAATAACTTCCCAGCATTTTCGGCATTTAAAAAAAAAATCTTTTTCCGGAGATATTATTAAGGTCGCTGTTAAATATAATTCTCATCATATCATCAGACAGGCTGAACAAAATTGGAATTTTATAGCCCAATGTGTTGATGTCAGTCTCGTCATTATGTTAGTTTTAAGTTCACTTTTTTCCCATTTATACCTGCCATCGTATTTTTTACGTGCACCGATTTGTGCCGTCATATATTACACAGACTGATGATTTATTTCCAACAGTTTGGAAGCTGTTTTTTTTTTAAATATTTATTTATTCGTTTGCCTTCTTTGCTTTCTACTTTCTCCTACATACAGATTAACTTGTATTTATTTCTGTTTCTCTTTTTCTTCCTAGCACCTGATTGTATTTCAGTCTACTGTCACAGCATTCTTTCTTTCTTTCTTTCTTTCTTTCTTTCTTTCTTTCTTTCTTTCTTTCTTTCTAGCACCCGGTTGTATTCCAGTATACTGTCACTGCATTCTTTCTTTCTTTCTTTCTTTCTTTCTTTCTTTCTTTCTTTCTAGCACCCGATTATATTCCAGTCTACTGTCATGTCTTTCTTTCTTTCTTTCTTTCTTTGTAGCATCCGATTTTATTCTTGTCTACAGTTATGTCTTTCTTTCTTTCTTTCTTTCTTTCTTTCTTTCTTTCTTTCTTTTAACTCTGTTTTCCCTCACATTCCTTCTTTAACATTTCCTTATTTTCTTCTCCCTTTCTTTCACCCCTTATTCTACTCCCGATCTTGATGTTCTTCTTTTCTCTATTGAGAAATAACGTGAAATCGTTTCCTTATTTTTCTTTCCTCTTGCCTTTTCTTTTTCTCTTTGCCTTTTGCTTACGTATTCTCTGCGTTTTTGGTCCCGACTTTTAAAGATTCTTTTTCTCCTGGTCTCTTGTTTGTTCTCTCCTTCATTACTTCGCAAATTGATTTCTTTGTCCTTCATTCTATTTCACTATTTCATTTTGCCGCCTCCTACACATTCTTTCCCGCCTATATCAACCCCTCTCTCTGTATTATCTACTTTTCTCCGTTTTTTTCATTTTACACCTATTCACCTCCTCCTTCTTACTAACCGACAGACACCTTTCCCTCTGTATATGTTTCTCTTTCCATTCCCCGCTCCTTAGCAATTTGTCTTTTCTCGAAGTTCTGTGTCCAGTCATTCCTCCTTCCCTCCTTTCTCCTTTCCCGAATTTCATATCCAATTATACGACACATATAGAAACAGGATAAGGTCCGGATGGGTGGCGATTGCGCTCGCTGAGATGATAGCAAATATAACGAAGAGAATGAACAATAAATCAAAAAAAAATGTTAAGGTGGTGGTAGGGGTCATGGTGTAGGGAATAAAGAAGTTAGCGTATGGTTTTTTTTTAAAGAAACAAAGAAGTAAATATTCAGACAAAGGAGTAAACAAACAAAACTCTGATTACTCACAAGAAAATAAATATATCTTATTAACATTTTTTCCGCTATCGAACGATTATATTTACAATGAAGAGAAGACAAAACAAGTATCAAGAACAATACTGGGGGAAAATGCATGACAAAGTGGAAAAAAAAGTTTTCATATGACGTGTTTTGTCGGACTAAATTTATTACGGTGGTGCTATTACGCATGCGCAGGAACGAAGGATGCTGAAAATTTTAAATTTAATTTCTTTTTTATAATCAAGCCAGTTTCATCTAAATTATTTTTCCTTTTCTTTGCATCAGTTTTGTTATTAGATATCCCACATTGGGATAATAGAACATCTGCCAGGAGTGGTGAAAGCCAGGCGCAAATTTATTGTGGATGACCTTCCGATCAAGGCACTCTCTAAACATTTTCGTCTTAGTGAATTGTTTTCTCCTTTGAGAAGTGTAGTATATGTTGTCAAAATACGGTGGTCAACTAATTAATGCGTTTCATGTATTCTTGTGCAAAATGTCCCTTTTTTGTTGTTATAGTGGAACACACCTATTCTATAGTTAATAGACTCTCCCACCTATAATAAGTAGGAGTAGTAGCAACGAGTCGCTCAGTGAGTGGGTCAGTCAGTCGATGCCGGACGACCGTTAGTCGGATATTAAAGTATCAGCCATCCCAACTAGATTACTGCGTCATTACTTATTATATCAAGTTCCTAACGTTTTGTACGTCGAACCTATTTTAGGACCGACTTAGTACAAATACAAGCCTCCACTGTGAACCACTATATAACATTTGTTCATATATATATATATATATATATATATATATATATATATATCCGAATGTAATGAGAACGAAAATAATATATAAATTCTAACGTTCACAGCCTTAATTTAAAAGAGAGTTCAATACCAAGAGTAGAGCAATATTTATTTATTATAATTTGTGAATATATAAAAATTTTAATATATATATATATAGAGAGAGAGAGAGTCATTCACATATAAGCCTGTTTCGCTGTATCCCAGCTCATCAGTGTGAATAGACATCCGATGGCCAGGATCAAAAAACGACCGATCTAGTATCATTCAGAGATACTACCTCAAAACAATCTACGCATGGCAGAAAAAGAGAAAATTTTAACGTATTTTATACGTGATTTATACAAACGGTAGTAGCGCTAAAGTCATAACTGAAGAGCGATGCGTTAATAGCAGAAGCAGCCAAGGATTTTAAAAGTACCCTTTCTTGATAGTGCTCAATCGGCTAACGAGAGCATATATATATATATATATATATATATATATATATATATATATATATATATAGTCTGTTAGGTATTTTCAAGTAGAGAGTTTCGTGTGAACTATACCAGAATACCCATCAATTGAAGGACGACGTTCGGAGAGCCTTTACAACAATCAACAAAGCACAACTCTGTAAAATATCACACAGGACATTTTGCCGCATCATTTTGTGCCAGGAAAATGATGGTGTATATAGAGACTTTGTCGATATAAGGCAGCGTCAATCAAATGGATTGACTGAATCCAGCACATATGCTTTGTTCGGACAAGCTTGTATATATATATATATATATATATATATATATATATATATATATATATATATATATATAGTAAAGGTAACAGATTCCTTGGTATACAATCCATGTGCATCCTAGTTATATAAAATATGAAAACTGATCCACAAAATGAGCTCAATGTATTTATTATTACGGAGCAGAAATTAATACACAATAAAATCTCAAATCACATCATATGGGCAATAAACTTATTTCAATCGACGAAAAAACAAAATTCGTCAATCTTATTCCACCCGAGTAGAGACATGTCGAAATTAGAAATTTAACTGCGAAACCTACAAATAAAAAAAAAAACGTCAAAAAATTAATACAGTCTTTATCCATTTCAATGTTTCAGTCAGACGAAAGGCACGAGTCAGTGGTCAGGGAAGTGTGCAAAGTATTAGTTTTGAAAGGAAGTTTTATTAAATTAAACCCGGATATTAAACTTATGACATTAAATTGGGGTTATATGAAGAATGAAATGTTAATTTAAAATTAAGAGAGGAATAAAAAAGATTTAAATGAAACCTTAAAATATATACATAACGTTATATTGAAAAATACAAAATCATACTTAAAATTACAATTCCAAAGATAAATTATATTTGAAAATAAGATATATTTAAATACGTTATGTTTAAAAAATAAGTCATATGTAAATAAACTATATTTAAAAATAAGTTATATTTAATATAAATCAATAGCTTATATTAAAGAATAAAAATATATTCAGAAATAAAAATAGTAAGATAAAATAAATTATGCATTTAAAAATAAATCATAATGACTAGTACGCGTCGTAGTCGCAGGTAAGAAGTATAGATCAATGGTGTAGTCCAGTGGGCATCGTTATAGACTTAGCTCTCAGACTAAGGATTTTGACTCTCTTACACGTCCGTCAGTATTTACGACAGACACCAGCCAATCATATTCCAGTGAGGGGGAACACAGGTGTACACATATTCCATTATAACATATATAATACTATAAAACATATATATAGTAACAAAAAAATTATTTTATTTTATTTATATTTCCTATAATATTCTTTTCTGACATAATTGTTAATTTAATACTCTGTAATTCAGAATTATCCCGCTTTAATAAGTTTAGGTTTATCTATTATTATTTTATATAATATTTGTTTTTTTTTTTCATTAATTTGTGAAGTTACATTTGGCATATCAACTGCCTGATTTCTGCTGTGTATATTAAATAGGTCATATCTTTCTTTCCTTCTCTTTACCTCTTCCTTTTCCTTCTGACCACCACTCATATCAAGACTTACACCACTACCTGTTTTTTCATACCTTCCCATCTTTTCTATTCTATTTTTTCCCTCCCTCTGGTTTTCTTCCTTTCTTTTCCTCCCCCTTGTCTGTTTTTCATTTAAAACATTTATCATACATTGACTGTTTGAAAAATCCATTAAATTTAATTTTACAAGTTGAAAATGATCATTTAAATAATCGTATCTTAATTCCGATTGTATATATATATATATATATATATATATATATATATATATTAGGATATTACACCGAAAACATGTCAAAATCGCAGAATTACAGTTGTATTTCGCCGCGTATCAATGCGTGTCATCTTGCGATTTAAAATTACTCACGAGTGATTTATCGAGATGTAAATTTAAATAACTCTTTTTACGAAATAAGAAAAGAGTGGGGAGTTATAAGGTCTGTGGGCTTTATTCTGATCAACTAATCAAATATGGCCTCCGTTAAATTTAATCTAAGCGAAGAAGCAAAAATTTAAAAACTATTTTTTATAAATGTGTCATGACCTGTAGATTGGCAGCTAACGACAGCCAAACATAAAGTGATACATAAAGTGATATATAAATTATACAAACTAGACAATGCCATTACCTAAGAAATAAAAATTGGGTGGGGAGGTAATTTACTAAAATGTGAAACAAGTTATATACTTTGTGAGCTTCCTACATAGATTCTTTATGAAAATAGTAAAAATTTAGACGTATAGAATTACTTGGTAAATTTATAGTCAAATGTAAAATGTCAAAAATACCAACCAAATACCAATACATACGTACAAGGTGTTACTAATACTGCTAGGAGATTAATACAGAATTATATAAAATCCAAATTAGTCTTACAAATAGAAAGATAAGCCATATATGTTGCAACGCAGTGCAACTAAAATATAAATACGTGAAAAAAATAATTAAATTCCAAAGTAAGGGAAAAGGTAAACTATGTTTACAATTTACTGTTAATTCATTCCTTTGATTTAATAATTTTTTTTAATAATTTTTAATTTGATAATTTCTAGTGTTTCATGCAAGCACAGAAAACAGGGTTCATATAAAGATCTAAAGTTATATATTCATCTCATCAGATCGACTACATTTCATAAAATGTAGTCTGATGAGATGAACATGCCATAATTCATCGAAATAAATTAACGACTATGGATTTTTAAGGTTTTTCCTAATTAATATTATTATATTCGAGCAGATGTGGTTAAATAATTTAGTCGTGTTTTGTTTATTTATTTTTTTTAATCATTTCAAGTTCACGAATTAATTTCTTGGTGGCTGTAGATAAAATGATCAAGAAAAATACCAAATTTTTTTTTCAAATAGTTTTTATTTTCACAAAAGAATATGTGGATATCTATACAGTACTTCCGTAAAATCAAAATTTATT